TAAAATAATTTTTTTTAATATATATAATTAAATATTTTAATAAATTTAACTTATTTACACTATAATAAACAAAATAATTAATAAAAATTTATAAAATTTGCTATATTTAAAAATTATTGAAATGACTGGTCATTTGATAATTGAAATGGCAGATCATTTATCATTTGTCATTTAAGTCATTTGCCAGTCATAATCATTTGGCAAATACTGGTTTAAATAGTTATTACTAATTATTATCTTTAATAAATAATATAAATTATTCAATAATAGAATCATTTTAATTAAATAATATAAAATCATTATTTAAAATAATTTTAATATTATTATTTAATAAGAATAATTTAACATTATTTCTTTAGAATAATTAAAAAAAATTATTTCAATTAGAATAATACAAAATCATTAGGTTTGAAATATTTATTTAAGATAATAATTTTAATAAATAATGATTAAATTTTTTCAGTATAATTTATAAAAAAAAATATTTTAGTAAGGGATATTTTTAAATATAAATTTACTATTTTATTTTTTCTTGTTTTTTTAAGAAAATTTCTTATTTTGAAATTATAGTAATTATTTAAAAACAATTTTTGGATAAATTTTCTATCTTATTATTTTATTTTTAGGAAAATTCTCATTTTTAGATACATTTTTACTTTTTCCTTTATTTTTCTTTTTTTTTTGAAAAAAAATTCTAATAATAATTTATTGAAAATTATAATTAGATTTGATAAAAATTATTTATTATTTAAGTAATAATAATATAATTCTTTAAATTTTTATCTATTATTATTAAAAATAATACTACAATTATAACTCTTTAAATTATAACTAATTTTAGACTTCTATATTATAATTTAATATTTAAAATTATATAATTTAGTTGTAATTTAGATTGCAATTCTAAAAGTTATAACTTAGTAATCTTTAATTATTATATTAAGATTTATTATTTTTAAAAATTTTAATATTACAATTATTTACATACTTATATTATTCTAATAATTATAATTATATTATAATATAATTTTAGTTTTTTAAAAATAAATTAAATTTAAAAAAATTATTAGAAATTTTAAAAATTATAAGTTATAGTTAAATTATTAATTATTAAAGTATTAAAGTTATAGTTATAAATTAATATTAATTTAAAAATAATTAATTATTTTTTAGGTTATCTATTAAGTAGTAAATTTAAAAGAAATTAAAAATTTTTTTTTAATTAAATCATTTTATTATTAATAAAAGTTATAAAATTTTTTAATATTTAATTATATAAATTGTAATAATAAAAGATTTTTTTTCTGATAAATTTTATAATATGGTATTATGATTAATATAGCAAATTCTAATAAGATAATAATATATTTATAAAATTAATTTAAATAAAAATATTTTTAATTTTTTATATAAGGCAAATTTTACATGAAAATTAAGGAAAGGTTTTATTTTATTAATTTTAATTTTAATATGAACTCGATATACCGGTAACTTAAAAACAGATTTTTTAAAAATTTTATTATTTTATTAAAACAAAAGTCGGTTATGAATTTTTATAAAACGACTTTTTCAAAATTTTTATAATAACTAGTTATATGAGTTCTGACTGAAATATATTTTACTTTTATTATTAAAATAAATAATACCTTGTTTTCTGCAAGTATTAAATCACATTACGGATCATATAAGTATATTTATCAATATTAATATCAGATTCACTTAATTACATATTTTATTATTAAGAAAGTTAGAATTTTGCATATTTGTCTATTTGTTTAAAAAGAAATGTTATTGTTTTTTTAATAAAATATTTTTGATTTCTGATCAGATACAAAAGTATTCAATTTTGAACCGAAATTGAAAGAATTTCGAGAATACAAAGTTTATTTTACCGAAAATAAGTTCCAGGTGATGAGTAAATTTTATGAAGTGAAATAATTTATTGAAGACTTTTAATGACGTATCAGAATGGTGCTTATTCACGGCAAAACAATATGTATGTCACATAATGCGGTTAATGCGGAGGTTATACTTTTTTGCTGATATAATGCTGATTTCCGACTGCCACAAAAGATTATAATTGATTAAACTCTTTTTTTTGCTCTCTCTACAAAAGAATTAAACACTTTTCATCTGAAAATATAAGAAATGTCGTGGCAAGCTTACGTAGACAACCAACTTCTTGGAACTGGTAAAATTGCCCAAGCTGCTATTTATGGGCAGAACGCTTCTTTGTGGGCAACCTCACCCGGCTTTTCCGTAAGTATTCACTTTTCGAAATTCAGAATCGTCTTTTTTTGACGCGAAAAAAACTTGTTTAAAGTAAAAATAAACGAGTTTAATTTGAGTAAATATAGGTACCGAATTTTGCTCATCTTTTTAAATGTTTGACTAATTCTCTTGTTACTTCTTTATATAATAGTTAAGTCAAGAAGAAATTAGTACTCTAGTTGAGGCTTTTGATAATGCTGAAAAAATTCAAGCCAATGGTTTATACGTCAATGGTCTTAAATATTTCGCACTCTTTCATGATGATGTAAACATTCATGGTAAAAAGGTAATGAAGAAATTTAAATAATTGAAACGAAAATCAATATTGATTCAAATTTTTTTCTCCTCATTTTTAGGGAGGTGATGGCGTAGTTGCTTATAAAACAACACAAGCTGTAATTATCGGCGTTTATAAGGAAGGTACGGCAGCCGGTGCAGCCAACAAAGTTGTGGGAGACTTGGGGGATTATTTGAAAGGTCTAAGCTATGTAAGTAGTATATTGGATTGAAATTTAGTGATTTTGTATATTTGATAATAAATAATATTAAATACTTTCATTCTTTCATTCATCATAAATCTAGTAAAAGAGTGATTCTTTTGTATTTTCTTATCATTGTTTATAATCAATTAAAGAATACACATTACTTCATATTATTATTAATAAGGTTGACACGTAGTAATTATATATTGTACGAATTAATATCCATAAAAAAATGTATAAAATTTTTTTGCGGGATCGTGATTTTTGAATTTACGTGAAAAAAATGATATTAAATTTATTTTTGGACATTATCAATAATAATTTAACTCGTACATTGTGTCAAAATTACTCATCTGAAATTTATTGAATAAATAAATAAATTAATCATCGTCATCTAAATACTCTTCGTCGTCATCATTACTAAGGGCACCAAGTGTTTCTAATTGCTCTCTCAAATTTTCATTATCTGTGAAAATGAGAAAATTTGAATAAGAATCATCAATTGGACATTAGATTTCAAGAGAGATCAGAAGATACCTGGATCAAACTTATAAGCTTGTTTCAAACACTCACGACCTTTTTCATATGCCTCCATAATTTGCTCTTCATCACTTTCAATGATAGTCTTCAATATATACGCTTGACCAAGCTGAAAAAAAAAAAGTTAGCATTTTGTATAGTCTAAATACAAGCAAGGAAAGCTAAAAATTGCAAATATTAACAATTTCTCTGAACCTGTCCTCTTCAAGAGGATCATTCGCTTTCAATAACTTTTCTATTGCTTCATTGAGAAACATCTATAATATATATTAAATTAAAGAATGTTTTGATTTTAAATCACACTATACTGACATTTTCTTTCATACCTTGGATTCTTCGTTTTCGTCATCATTATGATCGGTTTTTAATTTGGCAAGATAATATAGACAACACCCATGTATTCCTTGTGCGAAATTAATTTCATTTAAATATATGTTATCTAAATCATAAATATCCTGAAGATAATTTATTACTTTTGTGAATATTTTTTGCGTATAAGCTGTTAAAAATAAAATAAGTTAATGATAATATATAAAAAATCGTCATAAGTTTAAAGAAATTAAATTAACCGGTAAATTTCAGATGATCAATCGACATTACATATTCTTGAAGATCTTTAGCTATGAGGATAGATTTGATTACATATTTTTTCTCGTCTTTAGATTTTAGGATAGAAAGACCCTATCACGTTGAATCAATCAGATCATTTTTTTGAATCGATAAAAAAATATATTAATATCTTACTTTATCAAATGCATCTATTGCCATATTAAAAGAAGCCTGTTCTATTTCTATAGATGATTCTTGTTCTTCCTTTGAATTCTCCGAGTCAGATAAATCATTTTGATCATTCCGAGACATCTCTCTTTCAATTTTCGCCTAAACAGCCATAAATAAAAGATATGTTAAATATTCAAATTGAACAAAGATGAAATGCTTTAACAAGTACCAAGTGAATTCGTGCTCTCCCTAATCCTATCCAAGCATCATAATAGCCATCATCTTCAATGATTATTTGTTTATATATTTCTATTCCTTTACGTAAATGCTCGATAATTGGTAAATAAATACCAAAAGCGACACAACAACAAGCGTATTGATATCTTGTTTTCTTAGTAGCGAATCGATAACGAACTTCTTTTTCCTTGCTTTTTACAGTTTCCACTTCTATTTTCTGCTCTTCTAATGTTATCAGTTTATCAAACCCTTCGAGTGACATGTCAAATAGACGTTTTGCGATACCGTGTTCTCGTAAGGGTTCTTTAGAAGATTCTTCTAAGGCCAACTGAAGTAATTCATTTGGAGAAAGTTCGACTTCCTGACCTTCTTCGTTAGTGAAAACAATTTCTACTTCACCCACATCGCAGCCTTTGCAAGCGGAATCGTCACAAGTTTGTGCGTGATTTGAAGGGGTAAGCCTTACTTTTTTGGAATTTTGACTCGTTAAGGAATCAGAAGAGGAGGCTTCAAGGTTTATGACTGATATACTGCGTTTATTCTTTGACATGTTATATCTATGTATTAAAAATAGTTTATAAAAAAAAAAACTTGGGAATGTTTACTATCAAGCCTCTCTAAAATGCACCCACCTAGGGACCGTGCATTTAGAGACGATGTGCTATTATTATTTGTTAAATAATAAAACCTTTGTTAAATTCAAAGATTTAACGTATTTATATTAATTATTTTATTCGACAATGGGTTGTCAAAAATCAATAAATTGCCCATATCGGGTTTATATTATAAAATTTGCAATCGTAATTGATTTATGAAATTTTTAATAGAAATTTTAAAACTAGGTTTAGTAATTAAGATAAATTTTAATATCCAAATTTATTCAGCTATTATTTGGTCTTTGGTTTTGGAGAGAATCAGTTCGGTTATCCAAGATGCGTCTTCACTTGAACCATGTCTACAACAAGTTGTCATTGAATGAGACAACTTTAGTAATTGTGTACTTATTAGGGAATGATTATTAAGTAACTGTAATCACTCACATTTTCAAGTGGTTTGATCGCATCTCTTTTCATCATTCTGATCAACCCAAACACGCCATACTTATAGCTGTCAAATTTAAAAAGTTGAGAGTTTTCGGTGTCTTTAATGAATTGTAAATTTTCGGTGTCTTTGGGTTAATCATATATAATAAAAATTAGTAAAGGTCTATTCTTATAAATGGCAAATGTATTATTTTTTTCCAATATTGTCCCTTTGCTGCAATCTTATATCACTCGGTTGTCCCGCTAAAGATTATATAAATTTATCCTTACTTATCATTACCATTCATGTTTTGAACTAAGGTTCTAATTGGGACGTATTTTTTTGTAAAATTGTTTTAGTAAATTTGTTTTGAGAGAGTGGATGCAGTTTTATCATATTATTTATATCACTTGTATTAATTTGACATCATAGTTAAATAAATATAATCTAAAATCTTATTAATCACTTTTTCGCATATATCATTGTATCATAATTAGTCACGATGTATAGATCAATTCACAAGACATAAAAGGGGAAATCCAAATTTTGGTTAAAATTTATATTATTGGACCACTTGGTTGATCTCAGTCATGTGCACAAAATTAGCTTATAATAATTAAAATTAACAAAAATTTTGGATTTCCCCCTTTTCTACTGACCGCCTCCCATATACCTCACCCTCACTCCATTCTAAATTAATCAGTATCGAAAAATATCAAATTTATGTAAAAAAATGATTACTCATTTAGATTTTGATTCAAGGTTTGCACGTACAGAATGTGTATCACATTACGGAAGTTCTTAACCCATATACAAGATGAAACTTGACCCACTTGCCAATCTTATTATAAAACAATATTTTATTTTATACAGTGATCCAAGATTAATGTATGTGATAGATCTAGATTCATATTTTTACCCTAAAAAGAACTCAGGCATGTGACTTGTAGCGAATAGCAGACCTTAACTTATACTAATCCTAATTAATTGGGTGACAAATAATAAGTGACAAATATGATTTTACATCTAATTTCTCAAATAATATAGTAAAAAATGAAACTAAGGGAATGATATGAGTAATAAGTATTTATATAACCACAAGTCTGAATCTTTTTATCGATGATGCTGAAAAAGATATTAGTTTTTCATACTGTCCATCATTTTTTTTAGAATCACCATTAAAAATCCTTGGATCATGTGACTTTTAGATATTGTATTACATTAACCATGTTTTATTTTTTTATTATTTAATCTGAGAACTTAGTTTTTTTTAAAATGTGAAATCCTATTTATCACTCAGTAATACCTAACAAAACTACTTTTCTTAATATGATGAAACTAATGAAACTGAAATAACAAAACTATTTTACTTAATTGCCAAAATTATATTTAACTTTATTTGAATTTCTTGAATTAATATATATTAAAAAATATAATAATTTTATATATATTTATATAAAAATATTAAAGAAACAAATCCTTTTGATGAAACTATAATTTTTCAAAAAGAGTTTAAGCAGGTATTACTAATATAATATAATAATAATTTAGGAAATCAAAAAATCAGAAGATATATTATACTGATTTAGAATCAGGTAAATATTTTAATTTTATATTTAAATTTTAATTTTAAATTATAAAACTTTTATTTAATATTATAATTAATTAATTTATATAAATAAACAAAATTTATTTTTATTTTTTATTTTTATTTTTTTTAATAAAAATTTATTAATTAATTTCAAAAATTTAATAAATTATATTTATTTAATGATTAAATATATAAAATTAAAATTAAAATAACATATAATATACTGATTAAAAGTAAAAATCTATTTCAAAATAACAAATACAATTTAATATTTATATATAAAAAATCTAACTAAAATAATATATATAATTTAATATTTATAAGTAAAATATCTAACTAAATTAACATATACAATTTAATATTTATACATTATCACTGGGAATAATTCACTTATCACATGTGTTTCACTAAGTTATTTTACTACAATAAGTAAATTTCTTATTGTCTGACTTTACAATCTTAGGGAATCTCATGTCTTATAAGTATCTGAAATGTCTTAAAATTACTTCGCTTGACTTTATAAATTTAAAGCTTTAGGGACTTAGAAGAAACATAGAGAATTTATTTATTCTAAGTAACAAATTCAAAAGTAAGTTAATGTAGTGATTCATAATCAAATCCTAGATAATAGATACATAGAAGAAAAAAGTAATTATATTTTAAAGTTGATTCCTTTATTTATTACTTGAACTTGTAATAAAAACTAAAACTCGCAATAGAGTTAATTTACAACTTAAGTAAAAAACTATTCTATTTATTCTATTTATACAAAATTAATTTTCTACAGTTAACTAGTTGTTATGTTATAAATTAACTAAATTAATAAGTACTAATATAATAATAATAATAATAACAGAAATAATAATAATAATAAAAATAATAAAAATAATAATAATAATTAAAATAATAGAAATATAGGGAATTAAAGAAATCTAATGAATCATATGATCATATAGATCTAGTAAATCCTAAGAATCTTAAGAATCTGAAAAATCCTATATATCTTAAGAATCAGAAAAATTAGGAATTATGCTAATCATTAAATTTTATAATTAACATAAAATTAATTTCAGTAACTTTTATAAATCGTTTGATAATTCTTTGTAGAACAACTTTTCAATAGTGAATTTTTAGCTGGTAAAAACATAAGATATCTAATCAAAATAATGTATATAATATATTAATTAGATATAAAAATCTAATCAAAATTATATATACAATATATTAAATAAATATATAAATTCAGTATTTTCTAGATATAGAAAATGTTGATTTTCAGTATCTAATAAATAGAAATATTTACAAATATATTATATTTTTTTTTACGTATATTTATACATTTTTTAAACATATACTTTCCTTATACAGATTATTTATAAAGTTATATCTGCTATTTTTAATATATTTTTAAACTCTATAGAATTATAAATTGGTTTTAGTTTAATTTACTTTGATTTATATATAGAATATCAGCCATCTTTTTAATTTTATTACTAAGACTAGTTTCATTTGGAATTATTAAAATTTCTTGATAATCTAATTTAAATTGTTTTAATTTTTCTTCAGTATATAAAAATATTTTTTCTTAATATATAAGTATGATTTCTAATTTGCAAAATATTATTATCATTTTTTTTTAGAAAACTGATATATTATATTCTTTTAATGTAATATATTCAAAATTTGTATTAATTTTTTTTTTTACATAAACTATAAATTTTTACATTTTTATCTAATTGCAAAACTGAAATTAATCTTTTTAGAATTTTTTTAAGATTAATTTTTGATTAAGCTTTATATTCTTCATACTTTAGATGAAAACATATTTTTTATATTTAATATTATGTGTTTATTAACAATAAATTTATTATAATGAGTTTGACATAATTTTATGCTAATTGAAATAGGTTCGTTTTGTGTAATTGGTATTTTTGTATTATTAGTAATTTGTTTAATTATTCCTTTATAATCAGTAAAATAAAAATAATAAATAGAAGATTCTGTTGAAATTTTTTTTATTATTTAATTTATAAATATTAATAAAATTAAAAAAAACTTTTATATAGAATTTTTTGATATAATTTATAAAAAAATTCAATATTAATTTAATAATAACTTTATGATTACCTAAAATATTTTTGATTATTTTGGCTATTAATTCTTAAATAGTTAAAGAATATATTCTAAAATGGTCAAGTTTTATCTGAAGTTTCAAAGTCAAATTAATAAATAATTAACAGATGATTTATTTTATCACTTTTAGTATTACCTGATTGATAAACTTTTACTGGTCAAATTTTAAATAAAATTACTAATAAAATTGAATCTAATATTCAACAACTTGCTTTAAATGATAAAATTAGAATTATTGCAACTTTTAATGGTTGGAAAAATATTGTAGAACAAGAGATAATAGGTGTTATTTAATTACTTCAAGTGATTCAGTTCTTGTATAGAATGCAGAGAATATAAGTGATGAATGTCAATGCATAGAAGAAGTTATGCAACGAATAGAATTACTTTTTAAAAAAGCAGTATCTCAAAATATTCAAATAAATGCATTAGTAACTGATTCCGCTAGGATATGCTTCTTCTAGGTATTTATTTATTTATTTTTATTATATTATAATTTTTAATTGACAAATAAAATTAATTTATCATGAAATAGTATTTTTACCATGCTTTGCACATCAAGCTAATTGTTATGTAAAAAAAATTTTTAAAGAATCTTCAATATTTAAAACAACTTTTAATTGTGTTATTCGAATAATTAGCTTTTTTCATTTATCAGTTTATTTTATATAAAAACTTTATGATAAACAGTTAAAACTTTATAAAAAAATTATAGCTCTTACAAGTTCATATTTAATATGTTAGAATAGTTATTATAATTCTTTTAATTCCTTTTTAAAAACAAAAGATGCACTTATGATAAATTTATTATAATTATTAAAATATTTATTTTTGTAAATATTATTTATTAATTTTTAAAATTTTTATAATTTTTTAGATTTTATTAACAATTAATTCTCATGCTGATGAAGATGAACTTCATTTACCAACATATCTTTCTATATGTATCAACAATATAAGTCTTTAGACGGATTTAGAAAAATTGACAATCCTTTTATATCCATTTTGTGAAATTTTAAATATTATGCAATAGGATAAAACACGTCTTCACCAAGTAATATATTCTTTTGGTTTTATTATGAATAATATAAAATAACTAATACTAATTCATTTTTGTAATTGTATGGTTAAATAACTTGAATTACGCTGAATTGGCTAGAAACAATTTTTATTAATACTTTCATTAGCTATTCATCCAAAATATCGATTAGTAATTTTTTTTCAACAGCTAAAAATTTAAGATATTCACATATTGGTCATTAGATTAATTATTATTATAAATCTTGGTTTAAAAAAGAGCCAACAACTATTCTTCAAGAATTAAAAAGCAATGATATCCTTTTTGTAATAAAACATTTAAACAATTTGATGATATTGTGAAATGGTGGAAAAGTGTTTCAAATATAGCTTTAGAATTAGGTGCATTAGCTAGTTGTTTATTTGGAATCTGTATTAATACAGCTTCATGTGAAAGGTTATTTTCTACAGTGGGATTTTTACATTCAAAAAGACGCAATCAATTATAAGTAAATTATTAAATTATATACTAATATATTAAATTATTTTCTTTTTAATTTATTTAGTATTTTTTTTTAGTATAAAAAAGTTTTGGCAATGAGTCAACTTCGAACTGAAATTATTAAAGAAAATAAGATTAAAATTAATACAAAAAAACAAACCGAATTACAAATGTATGAAAATCATTCTAAAAATGAATTAGAAATAGATGAAGTATTTGATGATAGTGATAATGATTTACTAATATTAAATAAAACAAAATGTTCAGGAGTAATAGAAGAATAGGCAGATTTATTAAATGATGAGGAATTAGAAGAAGAAATAAACTTTAAAAGAATTGATGAAGAAAATTAAGATAGTGATGATGATAATGAAATTTTACCAGAGAATGTAATAGCAAAATGGAAATTAGAAGATTTGTTTATTTCTAATTTAGAATTTCCCTTTTAATGAATAGTATTGTATAAATCATATTATTTCACTTGAATAAAATAAGTAATTCTAACAAGATTAAAGATATATTTAATTATTTTTTTTATAAATTATAAATTAATAAATATTAATAAATAAAGATGGACACAGATTCTATTTCCATTGCTTAGCCAATAGACAATGGACAGCATTTTTTGTCTAGTATTGTCCAATGTATTGTCCAAAGATGACAACACTGTAATAAAGTACCTTCACATTTATCACCTGATATGTAATTGTAAAACGTGATTCTCGTCCAACAATTCCTTTTCTGAGATTGTTGCGCCAATTCTTGTGATAGCATCATCTATCAGTTACTCCTTCCTCCTTAGTGTCTATTATGAATTTGAGGAATGCGAGTTGACCTATTTTCATGATGCAAAGGTGAAAATATTGTCGCGTACTTCCTTCTACTTTGATAGCATCATACATTCTCTTGCTATCTCTATCATTTTCTACTTACACTATTTCTTATGTACCACTCAAAATAATGTTGATACCACGTGAATTTATTGAAATTAATTATTATAGTGTAAATTTTTATTATTTAAAAAAAAAGACATACACAGCTATAAAATTTTAAATATTTAGCACTTTCTTTTTGCCTAAATTCTCAATCAGGCTAATTTTTTTGCATTAATTGACTCGGAGTATCAGGTTGCTCTTCTTTTCTTTCTATATTTAATAAACTACTCTCATGTCGAACTGACACATAACTATATATCAATTTTTAATTGAAGTAAACATATAAAAACATAAAATGCAGATAATGTATGCAAGTACTTACAGCCCACTTAATTACAGCCTCATACAGCCATGCAAAGTTTGGCATATCAATCCAATCTTTCGGAATTCCGAAATGATCAATCTCAAACAACCTATGAATGCCTGAAGTTGAATGTGTTAACTTCTCGGTTATGTGCAGCATTTCAAGTGCAAATTTACATAATACTTACTGCGAAAATCCATCATTGTGAGTGACACTTCTGTTTTAAATGCTGTCAGACCATATACTTTCAGGTTCGTAAAAAGCTGGTGACGAGAATCAGCTTCTGCTATTACAATATGTTGTAAATCGCTTTCATGCTTTTGGCATTTTTATTATCGTCATCAATGCTTTTTTGCTGGGATGCTCCTGGTCTAGCCCCCTCTCCACAGATAATAGGATAGTTGACTACGTCATTAAGGAACCCTACACCATCAGCTCGTACTCTAGTCTTAAAGGCTTTCAAAGGTATTTCTCCACTATATGAATATGCAAACATTTAATAATAATGTAATCTATGTAGATACATAAATTCAAAGCAACTTACTATTTGTAATTCACTTTAGCGAAAATCCATAATGCCGAGTCAATTATGGGATGCACAAACTGATTTAGGTGTGGTTTTTCAAGAATTGTAATATCCCTTAAGGGATTGAGACCTGCCAACGAAAATGCTTTTAAACTGGAAGGAACGGTATAATGTGAATAATAAATTTCAGAAAAATCAATTATGTAAGTCTTCTTTGTTCTTACAATCTTTATTAATATTCATATCATCAATGGCTTCAGCCCAGCCTCCTGCGCTTCGGTCATCATTGAAAAATATGATGAGAAAATCATGAATCTCATCTGTTATGTATTCGTTATCAATTTGATCAAAAATTTCGTGCAATATTTCCATTTGAAGCTTCGAATCCAGAGCTAATGAAAATTTTGATCTTGGGTGTAAATCCATAATTGTAGTAGTAGAAAAATTGTCAAAGAAAAAATCTGCAATAGCCTTTTCAACAGACGAAGCCATCATTGAGTCCTCAAGTATGCTCTTTACACATATCATCTATACAGTTGGACAAAAAATCGCCTTTTTACTAAAATACTGATAGAAATATCATAAGAGTAACTTATACTAACCTTCTCATTTTCATCTACTCTAACTTCATCTTGTGTACCCTCAGTAGTTTGTTCTATGCTCATGTTTCCACCATCTACTTGCGCACTTATTCCTTCTTCCCTTACAGCTTCGACTGTTGCTGAGTTTGTAATGTCTTCGTTGTTATGATCCTGTGAACTAAGGAGTCACAATGAACATATTGTATTAATTCACATTCAAATTGAAGATGAAATATCATATTTACCACTATGAATCTTTTACTGCTTGCTTTTACTATCACTATTTTATCTGTAATAACACTTTTTTCAACATTTGTCACGTAATGTTTCTATGATAATGCATCAATTAACATTTTGTCATTCTAGAAAATTCCAATAATGGAATTGTTAACAAACTTAGCAAAATTAACATCTTGTTGGTCTAGGAATTCCTTAATATCTGTGCGAGTTAGAGTTAGCTTCAAAGATTCACAAAATTTATTAGCTTTATTTCGTGCTGCCTTTTTGACATTGTCGTCGTTGGATCTTCCGATCAAATGTCGCTTGAAGATATCAACGATCTCTTCCATTCTTTCACTTGTGTAGTCTATATCTTCAGCCAAATATCGTAGAACTCCGATTAAACTCCATTCGGCAGATTGTTTTGACTCGAGATAGTTCACAATATTCTTTTCAAACTCCATTCTTAAGGTTAGAAATTGATAAATTTCTCTGAAGATTGTGTTATACTCAGAATAGATTTAAGAAATTTTTACGTCTTAGATAGTATGTCATTTGTTTTTTAAGAAAAAAAAGAAGGAAAACCTATTTAATAACAGTATATAATGCAGATAAGGATAACTGGCTTGACATAATGCTTTCTGGTAAAGAAACCAAGGCTTGAACTACTAAGAGGAAGTTCATCCAGCAAGGACGAACCACGTCAAAGAGGGTATCCTACGCATCTCTTTACCAAACATCAGCTGTAGGAGTCACTAAGCGTTAAACACTTAGATAAGCGCATATGGGCGTAGGAAGCATTATGTTAGATATACTAGAGACGAGACCAAGGCTTGAACTACTAAGAGGAAGTTCATTCAGCGGGTGAACCACGTCAAAGAGGATATCCTACGCATCTCGCTCTAAATAACAGCCATAGGAGTCACCAAGCATTAAATACCTGGCTCAGTCATATGGGATGCCGTATATCATGGGTTGCCAGAGATAACAGGTAAACAACTATCAACTAACCTTACCGTAAAAATATGTCAAGTTGTTAAAGTTGAAAATATTTGATGAGAAAGGCGCCAGAGAAATAAAATGTCTCTATTATTAATCGTAACCTAACTAGGGAAGCTTATTATCAGTCACTGGACATGTCGCATGTCGATCATAACAAATGACATTGATATAGATGTCGATCATTTGATCGATAAAATTTTATGTAAATTGTATTAAATTTCTAAACAAATCGAACAGTTACATCAAAATGTTCGTTGACTTCTCACGAAAATTTTTATAAACTTTTAAAAGCGAACGTTTCAGCCAGTTTAAGAAGATCTTGTTGGAAAAATCATCTATTATTTGATATATTTATTATATGAATAATCGAAACTT